GAAAGTCAGAGATGATAGGCTTAAGTGTCCTAAGGCTCTGGAGAGAGGCAGGTACTGAGCTTGGGTAATATACTTAGTAGGATCTTGTAATTGGGTAACAATGGGGGAATGGCGTTTAGCAACAGAGGGGTTTTGGGTGACCCAGACTTGGAGGTCCACCTGAGAGGCTGTTAGAGGAAAAGACACAATGGACCTGGGAGGGTGGGAGGCTAGAAGGAGGAGGAGGGGAGCTGTTGGCGAATCTGGGGTAAGGTGAATGGAAGGAGCAAACAAAATGGAAGCTCCTATTTTTGTTAAAAAATCTATTTCCATAAGAAGTACCAGGCAGGTTGGCATGACTGAAAATGAATGAGTGAGATAAATACACATAAAAACACAATTAAGTGGTAGGGTCTGCTGAGGTAGATAAGGCTGTCCCCTGTCCTGATAATAGGGAAACTAGAAGGAGAGGTAGGCCCCCATAATTCCCTCAGTACTGATTATGTGGTTCTGGTGTCCAAGAGAAAGGAGATGGACCATCCTGACACTGTTATGTTTACCTGTGGCTCCCTGTTACAGATGGTGGTTATGGTCAGGTCAAAGGAGCCTGGGCAGCCTCACTTGTTCATGGCCAAATATAGAAGGTCAACTTGCGAATTTTCTGGGTTTGATGTCTCTGTGTCACAATGTGCACAAGGACAATTAACTGCTCAATGTCCTTCCCTATGGCATCTTATACAAGGTCTTGCAGAACCAATATGAGGATTAGGGCATGCTCTGGCATCTGACCAGTTTTACCACATTTGAAACATGGGCCTGGAGGTTCTTGAGCCCTGGGGGGCAAGGGTGGACAGCACAGATGGGGAGACTGGGAAGTCTGTTGCCTTGGCAGTCGGGGTGCAATGGCTGGCATTCGACAGTTATGATTACAGGCTTTGTCATTCCTTACATGGTACACCTTAAAGGCCAACTCTTAAGACTTCTGCCTGTGGGGTCAAGGGGCCTTTCTCCAAACATCTAAGTTTAGCCTTAATGTCGGGGTAGTTCTGAGAAAAAGAATGAGTAATGTGTAACTATCTGTCCTCTGTGGTTTCTGGATGTAAGTTAGTATAGTGTAACAGAGCTTTAGTGAGGCGTTCCAAAATGCAGAAGGATTTCCCTTCACATCCTTAATAACCTCTGAGAGTTTATTATAGTTTACTGGCTTGAGGGCAGCCTTACAGAGACCTGACAGAAGGCAAGTCAAAATCCAGTCTCTAACTAAAATTCCATCTGGGGTGTTATAATCCCAGTGTGATTCTCGATGGGGACCACCTCTGCCCCCAGGGGGTGTGCTGCATTAGTTTGGTGAACCTCATCTGCATGTAGTCTGCCCTGCTCCCAAACTTACCTTCACTCTTCAGGAAGTAGGTTATTAGATAGGCTCATATAGATATTATGAAAGGTGAGATTATATGATTGGGTAATGTATTGAAATTGCTTTATGAAAGAGGTAGAATTAGACATATAAGAACCCAGTTTTTGTTCTATATGGGAGAGTTTTGAGAGGGAAAAGGGGACGTGTACTCTGACCGATCAATCTATGCCAGCCACCTTTTACAACAGAACTGCAGCTGGCTTGACTTGGTCAGGGTTGGGTTCCTTAGCAGCACTTGAGCACATGAGAGGAGGGTGATAGGTGGGTCATAGGCCTCCTAGCATCAGAGATGAGGGGTTGATGGAGTACTTAGTGTGTGTATGGGAGAGAGATGAAGGAGTGGAAGTAGCTTCCTGCTGAGGTCGGAAAGGTGGAGGTTTGTTAGCAGGGTTCAGAGCAGAAGTGGGGTGTTTCTCTGTCTTAGTTGGCATAGCTAGGAACATGTGAGCAGGTGAACAGCTTGCAATGAGAGAGGACTTAGACTTAGAGCTTAAGTAGTAAAGGCTTGGATATAGGGAAACTCCTTCCATTTGCCTGTGCGCTGACAGCAGTTAGAAATATCCTGTAGAATATCGGGATCAAAGGTGCTGTTATGCAGCCACTTTAAATTGTTATTTAAAGGGTAATAAGGCCATTTTCTTTTCAAACAAAGATGGACAAGCATGGGAATCTGTAAGTAGGGCATTAAGGCCTGGGGTTTCAGGGCCTCTAAAAGTTGGGGGGTAGGAGAAACTGGACTGATGGCCTTTGAGGATTTGTTTTCCATAGCTGAAACCATGAAAAACCGTGAAAAAAAAAGGCAACAACACAAGGCCTGTGGGAGAATTCTCTCTATAGGTTGGGTGATAATGAAGCCTGACTGGCTCCAGTCTGGGTGACTTGAAAGCCAGAGGCTAGAGGCAACCCCGGCAGTGTCTCATAGCGGGGACCACATCTGAGTCATGGCACCAATGAATTATCCAGCGCAAGTGAAAACAATGAAATCCACTGGAGAGACACGTGTACGCAGGCCTAAGGAAGTTGGTGTGGAGAAAGAGAGCTTAGAGATGGTGTGTCCAGCTTTTAAAGGCTGCTGAGCTCTCTCTCTCACACACACACACACACACACACACACACACACACACAGGAGTTGATGTAGCTACATTATACGCAGATGACGGAGCTCACGTATGCATGCTAGGTCTTATGTAGCTGTGTCATATGTAGGTGACACAACCATGCTGAACGTAGGTCATGCAGGGCCTTTTAAGGTCCCAGGGCAGCTAGGTATTTTGCCTGAGCACTTGTCTGTACCTGGGAAGTTTCCACTACTGCTGTGTGGCTGGAATCAAAACATTTAGAATGGTTATTCTTCCCATAATTTCTGCATTTAAATACCTTCTCATTCTTGAAAAGCCCACTCAAATGTATATCTTTCTTTCTTCCTTCATTTAATTTTCCTTTTTTGACACCAGGTTTCTCTCTGTAACCACAGCTGTAGCTGTCCTGGAACTACCTCTAGTAGACCAGGCTGACCTTGAACTCACAGAGATCCGCCTGCCTCTGTCTCCTGAGTACTGAAATTAAAGATGTGTACTACCACCACCGGCTGTACTTTTCTAATCTTTATCTTTAATCAAGTTTTCTTGCTTCCATAACACGTTTACCAAAAAAATTCAATATACACTTACTGTAAAAATTACATGGGTCCTCACACATTTGTGTATATGTGGGCATGTTTACTCTAGAATAAATGCAGAGGTGAGATCACGACCTTAGGTATTGACCTTTGCCTTCTACCTTGTTAGAGACAAGGTCTCTTTGCTGGTTTTCTGCTGCATATGCAGGTCATCTAGTCTGGGAGCTTCCAGCTATTCTCCTGACTCCACTTCCCATCTACTTGTAAGAATACTGCTATTACAGATGCGCATGACCACAGCCAGCTTTACTTGAATTCTGACAATTCCAACTGAGAGCCTCACACCTGTCAGGCAAGTGGTTATCCTACTGAGCCGTCTCATTAACCCTTAATGTAAATTTAATAGAAACATGGCATTTTCACAAAGTACAATTCAGTAGCTTCATAAAGTCCATGATCCTCCTGCCACAACTTCCCAGTGATTGGGCTTCCATGTATGTGCTGCCACACTTGACTTCCTGCCTCAATTTTAATACAATTACTTTATATATTGGAATCTTATAATATTTTTCCTTCAGAATTCAGACTATTTTCCCCTTGACTATATGACTGAGCTTATGAGATATTTAATAGTTTCATTTCATTTGGTCTCAGTGCTCTTTAGTAGCTAATTTTATCTATTCCATTGCAGATAGTAATAGCATTGTTTCCAAGTCTGGGATATTAGTTACTCGTATTGGTGCTGTAACAATATATCTGAGAAAGACATAAAGCAAAGGATAACCAGCCTACAGTCCACAAGGCCAGAGACAATAGAACCCTTATCCAAAAAGAGATGGGAGCAGATGGAGAGATCCACAACCAACCACTGGGCTGAGTTACCGGAGTACAAGAGAAGGAGCAGCAATAATATGAACAAAAGGGTCAAGATCATGATGGGAAAACCCACAGAATCAGCTGACCCAAGCTACTGGGAGCTCACTGACTCCGGACTGTCAACTGTGGAACCTGCATAGGTCTGAATGCAAGTGACAATGGTGTGGCTGAGCAGCTCTGGAGCTACTGGCAGTGGGACCAGGATCTAACCCTAATGCATGAACTGATGTTTTCGAGCCCATTCTCTATGGAAAGACACCTTACTCAGCCTAGACACAATGGGGAGGATAGGGGAGTAGGGGACAGGGCCTTTCTTGGTTCTGTTTTAATGAGTTGATGGGACAAACTTAGTTGACTTCCCAGAGCAGGCCTTACCCTTTCTGCAGTGTGGATGGGGGTGGGGTTGGGGGAGGTGGGGGAATGGGAGGAGAGGAGAGCAGGGGAACTGGGATTGGTATGCAAAAAAGAAAAAGAGAAAAACAAAAATATCTGACAAAAGCAACTGAGGAAAGGAAGGATTTACTTTGGCTTAGAGTTCTAAGAGATATAGTCTATTGTGGAGGGCAATGTATGGCTGCATTGTCAGAAGGTGGGAAAAGAGGCTATGAATTTGAAAGAGAGCACAGAGGGGTATAAGAGAGTGTGTAGAGGGTGAAGAAAGAGAGAAATGATGTACTTATGTTAAAATCTCAAAAATAAAAGAAAGAATTTAAAGAAAACAATCAAAAAATGGTTGGTCACATTGCACCTACAGTCAAGTAACAGAGTGATAAATGTGGGTGCTCAGCTTTCTCTCCTTTTAAAAATTAACTTTTTAATATTTAGTTTGCATGTGTGTGTGTGTGTGTGTGTGTGTGTGTGTGTGTGTGTGTGTCTATCTGTCTGTCTTTATGTGGGCATGTGCATGTGGGGACCCATAGAGGTTAGGTGCTGGAGTTACAAGCAGTTGTGAGCCATCTGACGTAGATGCTGGGAATTGAACTCAAGTTCTCTGGAAGAGCAGAACACATTATACACCAGTGAGTCATCTCTCCACCCTTCTTTTTCCTTCTCATGAAATCTGTGCCATGCCTAAAGAATGGCTTCCTTCTCACCTCAACTCCCCTAATCTAGATGATTGCTCATAGACAGGGCCATCTCTTAGAAGATTTCAGATACTGTCAAATTGGCAGTCAATATTAAATATCATAGGATATTGTCAAATAGAGGTATTTTAAACATTTTTTGTTTCTGTTTTTCTGAGACAATGTCTCATATTGTCTCTTAGGTAGGCTTGGAACTTTGTAGAACAAGCTTATCTAAAATTTACAGCAATCCTCCGGGCTCAGCTTCTTTTCCATGCACTAGAATTACTAACATGGACAACCACAATGGACATTCTTGACATCTTTACACACAGGTTTTGGTGAACATAATAAAGTTGTTTTTATATTCTTCAATATTTTTACCTATCTTCCCATTTTCAAGACTACTACATTGTTTTAATTATAATTCTTGTTTGTCACACTTAACTATGCTCCTTGAGATTAAATAAATTTGTTTATTTTCATCAGAACAGGAAGCCAGTTCCAAAGAGGTACCCAGATATGTGGGGGAAGAACTCTGCCACTGAGATATACTCCCAATCACATTCAAACATAGTGGGAGTTCCAGAATATTTATAAAGGAAGGAGCAACTAGAATAATTCTTTAAAGCTTAATCTTTATTCATCTATGCTTCTTAAGACACATAAATGTATTTATTATTTTATGTATCTTATGGCCACATGAAAAAGCTGATATATTTTAAAGTAAAACATCTATAGCAATACATGATCAACCCCTTTGGATGTCAGTGTGGCGATTTCTCAGAAAATTAGGAAACAACCTTCCTCAAGACCCTAATACCACTTTTGGGTATATATCCAAAGGATGCTCAATCGTGCCACAAGGACATGTGTTCAACTATGCTTATAGCATCTTTGTTTGTCATAGCCAGAACCTGGAAATAACCTGAATGCTCCTTGATTGAAGAATGGATAAGAAAAATGTGCTACATTTACACAATGGAGTATTACACAGCAGAAAAAAAGTAACAACAGCTTGAATTTTGCAGGAAAATGTATGGAACTAGAAAACATTATTTTGAGTGAGGTAACCCAGACCCAGAAAAACAATTATCACATGTACTCACTCATAGGTGGTTTTTAACCATAAAGCAAAGAAAGCCAGTCTACAAACCACAATCCCAGAGAACTTAGACAACAATGAGGACACTAAGAGAGACTTACATAGATATACTCTACATGGGAAGTAGAAAGTATAAAAAGACAAGATCTCCTGAGTAAATTGGGAGCATGGGGACCTTGGGGGAGGGTTGAAGGGGGGAGGAGAGAGACAGGGAAGGGGAGCAGAGAAGTATCAATAAAAAACTTTAAAAAAAGAATATTTCACATTAGGTCATATACTGAAAATATTTAAAGATATTAAAGAGTATCTCATGAGATCACATTTTCAGTTAGAATTATAGATTCATATAATTAGAAGGCAGTTTGAGAGCTGATTCAGTCTACCACATCCATGAATATATTACATCAGAACTTAACACATTAAACCAATGTAAATCTACACATTACCTTTTCTTTTTCAAAATAGGTTTTCAGTGTGTGTGTGTGCAGGTGCCTGTGGAGGACAGAGTCTTCTCTTCTGTATCTAGAGTTACAGCTGACTGTGGGCCACCCAATATGGGCTCCAGGAATCAAGCTTTGATGCTACAGATCCACGTTCTTGACTGCCAAGTGAGCTCTCTAGCTCCAAAGAAACAAAACCCTTTTTAAAAATCAGATTTTACATTTCCTTAAGTGTCTTTTGGCCATTTGATATTCCTTTGTTAAGAAAAAAGGATGTTTTGGCAAACTGTTATTAATGATAAGAGGCAAAAGCTAAAATTACAAATAAACGGCATTGAAATTTCAAGCTAACTGGATGCTAAAGTCATGTGTCTGTAAATTTTCAAAAATCTTAAAATTCCAATTGGCCTATTAAAGTTATTGATTTAAAGGATTGCTTCTTCACTATTCCTTTACAAGAACAGATAGAGAAAAATTTGCCTTTATAGTGCCTATTTATAATAATGTCTAGCCTGTAAAGAGATAGCAATAAAAGTACTTCCTTAAAAATTGTTAGATAGTCCAGTTTTGTGTCAATATTTTGTAAATAAACTACTGGAAGTAGCATGTAAACAATTTCCTTAATCTATTCTTTTTTTTTTTCACAATGCTTGGAAATTTTATTTACAGCTTATTAATTTTCAAGATTTTTAAATATAACTAAAATGGGGGGCTAGAGAGGTGGCTCAGTGGTCAAGAGCACTGACTGCTCTTCCAGGGGACTCGGATCAAGTCCCAGCACCCACGTGGCAGCTCCCAACTGCCTGTAACTCCAGTTCCATGGGATCTGATGCCCTCACACAGACATACATGTAGGCAAAACATCAAAGCATATAAAATTTTAGAAAAAAGTGACAATGGGGTGAAATTTTTCTACCTGATGTTTATGCAGGGCAGAGATCCTATTTTCCTTTTGGAATCCATCTTGAACTCCTCCCTGTCCTACAACAGTGGACATAAAAGTGGCCGACCGGTCAATGGACTGGGCAACAAAATCTCGTGTCCCAGTCTTATCTGGTATCAGAAGCGTCACTGGATTCCTCCATTTTAGTTTTGAGCCTTCCATCCCTCCTGAGTTGTTGGGTCTAAAACCACTGCATGGGGCACATGAAGGTGTCTATGTATTATAGTGGAAGAGCAAGTCATGGTAACTTCAGGTGAGATCCAGTAGTGCAGGGAGGGTGTCTACAGGAAAGCAGTTTGCCTGCCTTGCTGGTCACCAAGAGGTGTCTTTACACAATCAACAAGTAGAATGCAGAAAACCAAAGATGGGTAAAGAAAGCACCCATTACTGAGAACTCTCTCTGTAGACCAGGCTGGCCTTTCACTCAGAGATTCACCTGCCTCTGCCTTGAAAGGGCTGGGATCTTAAGTTTCAGAAGCTGAGGTCATTATCTCAGGGAGCATGGTGGCATGCAGGCAGACATGTGCTGGAGAAGAAGCTGAGTGCTACATCCTGATCCACAGGCAGCAGGCAAGGGGGTGGGGGTGGGGGCAGGGAGGCCTGGTGTGAACTTTTGAAACCTCAAAGTCCACCTCCAATGCCACATCTTCTCCAACAAGGCCATCCATATCCACTTCCATGAGATCACACCTAATCCTTCCCAACAGTCCACCACAGCTGTCCAACTTTGGTTCCCATTCTGTCCAGTTCGAGTCATATTTCCAGTGCGCCGAAAAGTGTTCAACCATCGTAGCAGAGAATCTTCATCTGAATTTTCTCTATGGTTTTCTGAGTCTCCATCACCTGTCCCACTCCTCGAGCCAGGCTGGGATGCCAGTTGTTCCTTCGCTCTATCTAAGCGCTGCTGTAGCTCCTCCGATGTTATTTCTCCAGGGGTGCCTAAAAGGTTATGGTCTCTCATTAGCCGATAATCTTCATCACTGAGCTCATTAATAAACTGATAATAGGCTTCTTCTCTGTGGAGACGCTCTTGTTGCCATCGTCTCTCATTTTCTTGAAATGGGGTTTCTTCTCCACTACCTCTTGATCTAGATCTAGATGGATTCATGCTGAAACTCCCAGATTCCATTCCAGGCTGAAGGACGGTGCCTGATAGAAGCAGAGCTCTGCTGTGCCCTGTCAATCCTCAGAGCCATGCATGACATACTGTTTCCTGTTGGTTTTCACAGTCTTGAGGAGAGCAACTGAGTCTCTTCAGCAGACAAAGTAGGCAAAACTATTTTCATTCCAATAAAATACAATGAGATGGTGGTGATCACATTACATTCATGATCTTTTCTGGAAGGAGTGCAACATCCTCTACAAATGTGGTGGACTCTTGTCTATCTCTTGTAGACCAGGCTGGTCTTGAACTCAGAGATCTGCCTGCCTCTGCCTCCTGAGTGCTGGGATTAAAGGTGTGCGCCACCACTGTCCAGCACAAGAACCCTTATTTTCCTTTTAACATTCTTTTAACATATGAAACTGTATCCATTCTTCTGTTGTTTGTGCCTTTTTTGAGAGCTGCTCATCTCCAGCGGGATGACACGCAGTTGTCCTCTCCGTGGTTCTATGGCCGAGCCTTCGGAGGCCGCTACTCCCACTAACCGGCTGCTGAAGCGAGAAGCTCAGAATCTCCGCCGCTGTTCGGGGTCGACCCGCCGTAGAGAAAGCTAGGAGAGAGGGCCGTCCGGTGTCGGGCCTTCTCTCACCACCTTAGAGCAGAGGCGCGCCACCATCTGCGCAGCACTCGCCGGTGCGTCTAGAAACGGTCCCTTAATCTATTCTTTATCATTATATTGATGATATTTTATTAGCTACTTCTGATATAGGTATTTTAGGATGAATGTTTAATGTGGTACTGAAAAATTTATCCTGTTGGTGATAAAAAAATTTCTCCTGGAAAAAATACAAAGAGGAGATTCTCTTGGTTATTTAAGCTATAAATTAAGCAAATGAAAATTCAGCTGCAAAAGGTACAAATAAGGAGAGATCAGTTGCATACTCTTAAAGATTTTCAAAAATTATTTGAAAGATATCTTGAGTGAGGTACCTGTGGAACCCAGAAGAGGGCACCTGATCCCCTAATGCTGTAGTTACAGGCAGCTGTGAGCCACCTGACATGGGCAATGGACACTGAACCAGGGTCCTCTTAACCGCTGAGCCATCTCTCCAGGCCCTGCAGTGGAAAGGAAATATACATGTAACAGTGTGTGTACGAAGAACATGTGATTAATATTTAGCATTCTGTGTTATAAAGAACAGGAGCCCATCCGAAACAAGAAATAAAGTAAATGTTTGTTTACAAAAAAAGAAAGATATTAACAAGTTGTGGCTTATAATTGGATTGCCTAGTCAAGAATTAACTAATTTGTTTCAAATTTGCAAGGTGATTCAGATTTAAGCAGTCCAAGACAGTTAACAATTGAGGTGCAATTTAGTAATTTTACCTTCAAATCATTCCTCTACTGGACTCATTGTGCAGAGGGAGGATAATATTTTGGAATGGATTTTCCTAACTCACAAACAGAAAAAAAAATCAACTAAAAACTTACATAGAAAAAATTTGCAAACTTGTTATAAAGGGGCGAATAAGGCTTTATCAATTGTCAGGTATTGACATAGCTGAGATTATGATACACTATACCAATACTGAAATTATGCAGTTGTGGGAGATTAATGGTCATTGGCAAAGAGCTTGTAATAATTTCTTAGGAGAAATTAATAATAAATATCCAAAAAGTAATGATATTCAGTTTATAAAAATAACTGAATGGATTCTTTCCCACATAGTGAAAAAGGCACCTATTTCTAGGACTCTTATATTTTATCCTGATACAAATAAATTACAGGTATCTCATTATAAAGCAGAAAACATCAGTAAGGTTGTTCAAAGTTCATATAATTCAGTTCAAAAATCAGAGCTGTATGCCATTCTGATAGTTTTATTAGACTTTAATGAACTTCTCAACATAATTACTGATTCTCAGTATGCAGAAAGAGTTGAGTTACATATAGAGACTGCTGAACTTATTCCTAATAATTCAAAATTAACTTATTTGTTCAGCAAACCATCCGAGAAAGAAAGTGCCCACTTTATATTATCCATATTTGATCTCACACTGGGTTGCCTGGAAATTTATCAAATATTGATAATAAATGTGTTCAAAGCCTCAAAATTTCATAAGAAACACAGTGTTAATAGTAGGGGCTTAAAATTTTTTCTTTTACTTGGCAAGAAGCTAAAAAAATTATTAAAAACTGTCCTGTTTGTTCTTTTTATAATCAAGTTCCTTTACCTACAAAAACTAACCCAAGAAGTACACAAAGGAAAGAAATTTGGTAAATGGGTATATTTCATTTAACAGAATTTGAAAATTAAAATATGTTCATCATACCATTGATAGATATTCAAAGTTCCAATACACATCTGCCTTAAGTTCTCAAAAGGCTGATTTGATAATCACACATTTATTAGAAATAATGGCTGTAATGAGCATAGCAATGCAAATTAAAACTGCTAATGCCCCAGCTTATGTTTCCCATAAAATAAAACAAATTTTTTATGCATTACTACATCAGACACATTGCAGGGATACCATACAATCCTACAGGGCAAGCAATTGTTGCAAGATCTAACTGCACCCTAAAAGAAATGGTTGTTAAACAGAAGGGGGATATGAGGATCCCCAGAGATACTGAGTAACTTTTAAAATAATTTCTAATTCTAATTGAAAAATTTTAAAAACTAATGAAACAGGGACAGCAGCTGTTGAAAGGTATTGGATTATGGAAAAAACTGCTGAATTAGGTCAGCTCGTGTAAAAGCAGGGAAAGTATTAAGTTAGGGCCGAGGTTATGCTTATGTTTCCACAGGAGATAATAAATTGTGGATTAAGAAAAATGATGTGGGAGTGTCATATATCAATCTGTTGATTTCATTGGTTAATTAAATAAAGAAACTGCTTGCCCTGATAGGTTAAAACATAGGTGGGAGGAGTAAACAGGAGGAAGAGGAAGTGAGGTAAGACTCCTCAGACAGACTCAACAGCTCTGCTCTCTGGAGCAGAGATGCCAGGCTCTGCTCTCCCATGAAGCTCAGACCCAGGATGGACTTAGGCTAGAATCTTCCTGGTAAGCACACCTTGGGGTGCTTACACACATTATTAGAAATGGGCTAAATTAATATGTGAGAATTAGCTTAGAAGAGGCTAGATAGAAATGGGCCAAGTAGTCTTTAAATGAATACAGTTTGTGTGTTGTTATTTCGGGCATAAGCTAGCAGGCGGCTGGGGTGCTGGGGACGCAGCCCTGCAGCTCCAATTTCAACAGATGGCTGCCCAACATGAGGATAACTGAATCCACAAAAAGCCTGAGAAAGCTTGGGAAAGAATGGAGTGAAGCATGTTTTCTTGGTAGCAACAATTTTTCGGATCTACTCTGCTTGCTAGAGGCAAGCAAGCGCTCTCATCTAAGAGAGGCTTCCTGACTCAGCTTTAGCTGCAAAACCCTGCAGCTCATTAAGAGGTCCTGCCATGAA